AAGTTTTCAAAAGTCTGGTTTTTATTGTTATATCTGTGAGCTAAGATTTTTTTTTTTTTTTTACATCTAGTTGTAGTTTTTAGTTTAGTTTTAGGCAACTGTAATATCATTGGAATTAAGTTTTTCTGCATCTACTGCACTGTTTAAGAGCCATAATTGCGTGCATTTGCATACATGGCAGGAGTAACCTGCACATCTGTGAAGGCACCAGATTCTCTGTGTGTTTGGCAAAAATCTAAAGCCATTCCCATTAAGTTACGGTAAACCTGAATGAACCGATTATCCTTTGACGTTTAAAAGTTTCACATTTTCACACGTAGTGCTATAATGACCTTATAAATTCAGATTAACATGCCACCATGTTGATACCCATAACTCTGACTGGGGTTTTTGGTTCTAACACCAAGAAATCCTGGATGTGTCAAATGTTTTTTGCAGTGCATCGCTCAGTTGTTTGCTGTGAATCCCACAGTGTAAATAAGCGAGTAAATAAAGGCTATTTAAATAAGACAAACACCAGTCACAGAGTTCTTTGAAGAAGTATTGATAAAATCAGCCCACACCAAAAGGAGAAATGGACAGGCATTTCACTCAGCTGTTCTTTTATTGATTTAAAAAAAACTAACTAAAAGCAGGTTTGCTAAAAAATAGTTGGCATGAAACAACAGTACACACAATCACCACTGACCACCACGGCAGTTGGCTTAGGTGGTCAGTCCCAATCTTCTCAATCCCAAAATGTTTTGGCGCCACCACCACCACCCCACCCCACCCTCAGCTTTTCAAATCTCTTTCCCTAATTCAGCTTTAGCACACAGCAGCACAGGTATCTGTTGTCTGGTTGGATCTTCAGCATCGTTCAACTGTCCTGAAGTTTGGCTTTTTGCACCTGTAGCTGTCGGGGACTTCAGCAGACTATCAGCATGGCTACTGTGGTGAATTGGCAGTATCTCAACCTGTGTAGGATCAGCTGAATTACTATTTCAAGGGAACCCTCAGCCTAAGCCTGGAAAATGGAGGTGGAAAGATCGCAGTGAATCTGTCCCTAAACCTGTCTTATGATAACATACTTTAGACTTCTGGTTAAAATGAATTAGAAGTGTAGGATTAGATGTGTTGGATTAATTGTTGAGTGGTAATCTTTACTGCCCAACCGGTGAAAACAGTCTTCATGTCCTCCTGTGTGAAAAACAGCAAAACCGTTCATCAGATTTAGTGTTAGATGATTAAATAAGGTTCTGGTCACTTTGACACTTTTACCCAGATGAGAGCGATCGTTTCCAGGATGGCAGTGCCTCCAAGCGTTAGGTAAGAGTGGTCACTGAGTTATTTACAGAGCATGAAATGGTCTGTTAACAAATCTCAACCCACTTTAACACTTATGGGAAATATTTTAAAAATAATTAACATCCAGTTAAACAGTTCTCCCCACCGACTTCATTAAGACGCCAAAAAAATCTTTTGAATGAACGGTGATAAATTTCTCCAGCACAATTCCAAATAATCCTTCTCAAAACACACTGAAGCTGTTCTGATAGCTCAGCGCTTCATTAAGACACTTTATGCTGTCATATAATTTTCTGGACATTTTCCACATTTCAAAGCGGTGTCAACATCAAAACTATTAGTTGAAATATAGTTTTTTAAAAATACATAAAACTGCTTAGACTGCATAAAGATCACGTTAAAACAAAAATGTTTAAGGTATTTGATTCTTCAAATACCTGTTCACTCTTTTTACAACAGATTGTTACTTCACGTGGTTTCCCACACACCCTGAGCACAAGTTGGCTGCTTTTCCTGCAATCTGTGGCCCAACCCATCCCTAACCATGTCATTTGAGATTGCCAGCTCTCCAGCACTCTGCTTCTTGGTAAAATAGCTCTTCCAGAAACTCAAGTTGTGCACTGTTGAAGAATAATGTTCTCACAAAGCATTTTTTTTTCTACAAACTTTGTGGGATGTTACATTCAGGAAATTGCTTTCAATGGCCTTGAGTTCTGAATAAATCATAAAAGTGTCATTAGCAAAGCATCAGGGGAGCCCTTATCTTAAGTGGGCCTGAACATTGAAACTTTCTTTTCTGTCAGTGTAATCAAGTTTAACTACACATTTAATCCTTCAGATATCTTAATGTAAGACAAATAAGTGCAATGGTATGTCTCAGTTTACACATAAAGAAATTCTGCTTGACTCAATGAAAGAAATCTGTCATCATGACTCTCTGAGCTTAAATTATAAGCAATACATCTGTAGTTCTGGTTGGTATAGTGTGGTAATTCCCAGGGGAGTGGTCTTTATCAGTATCAGTATCAGTAGCAATGGCTGTAAAACCTGTAAAAATACAGTAAAACGTCCAAAATAAATGCCCTCCTTAATGTTTTCCTAAGAATGGGCCAGTGGCCCAGACTGGAGTCTTTGCCGGGTCGATTCTGATGAACGCACAAGACTTAATTGACATTAAGTGACATGTTGAAGTGAGCAAAAATATGCTTGTTTAGCATGTAGTTAATACACATGTGGACCCTACAAAAGACTCCAGCTAATGGAAAACCGTTCCAGGGTAAGGCACTGTGAAGATTTCTTTATTGTTTTTGTGTTTCCATGGGTGCTTTTTGTGTCTTGATGTCTTCAGTATTGTTCTGTAAAAAATTACAAAAACATAAAGGAAATACACTTGAATGAGTAGATCTCTCCAAGCCTTTGATGAGTACTTTCTAAATCTGGGAAGATGGCAAAGTGAAAAGCTGAAACAGAGGCAAACAAAACTTTCTGCAGATGTATTCAAATTTAAACTGAACTTATTATGCTTTGCTGGAACTTTCTGTCATTAATAATAATAATAATAATAATAATAATAATAATATTTCAGAGACAGAAGCTCATAATGAACATGCTCAGTTTTTCAAACTACAAGGTGCAAGTAAGCGCTCCAATATTTTTTTCCCCATTTCTATGCATATGATGTCAGTGAGAATGGTTATCATCCCTAATATGGTCATCTTAGCCACACCCATCTGCCACTTAAGCCTTCTGTTTGCGAGGGGCAGCCAATCAGAAGAAAGTTAGCCACTGTCCAAACTGGCAAACTGAGAAGCTACACCAAGGCCCGGTATTAGTAAATCATCCAAAGCTACTCTTTCATATACCAAGAATGAAAGTATAGAGCTGGAAATGAGCGTAATAAATCACCTATAACAACCATCTTCCTGATTTGGGGCGATGTATAATATAACTCCAGGACTCGTAAATCTGCAACAGCAATGTGTTGAGCTGAATGTTACTCTGGATGTCTGAAAGTTCACTTAGTTTTCTTAGAAAGAAACCCTGTAAACACACACACAGAGGGAACAGCAGCAGTTCTTGCTTGTGAGGAAGACAGGTTATGAAGGGTGGCTGAGCTGGCTTCCCGCTGCAGAGTTTGCAGAGTAACACCAATTAGATGCCAATAAATCTTAAACATTGATCCCACAGAGATACAGAGGTAGCTTTGCAAAACGTGGGACTTCAGCGGGGGTTCTTCTGTAACGTGCTCATGCACAGGAGAAACATTAAAATGACAAAATAAAGCAAACGATCCAAACTGCATCATGTGTATGCGGCACGTCTGAAATCTTTAAAAAAGACACTGAACAAGCTGATTCTAGCTTCACCACCATCTCCGCCTTCTCTCTGTCTCTCTCTCTCTCTCTCTCTCTCTCTCTCTGTCTCACTTCAGTTCACTCCCTCACTATCTATATAAAGTCAGTTTGATTGAGTATCTTCTGCTGTGTGTGCACTCAGCACCAGCCATCATTCTCACACACACTCACTCTCACACACACAAACTCCCAGTATGCAGCTGCCCGAACTCCTGAAACGCTTTGCATGAGGTGGCCGTTTCTCTGGAATCTTATGATCCTACATATTGAGGTAAGCACACAGGGGCTGGTCAGTACCATGAATTTTATGGACCCAGAGGGACTCTAAGTGGTAATAAAATGGTATCACTGTGGATGGATAAAGCTTAGCTGCTGCAGAAGCACTGCTGGGACTTAATGCACAGGATAGAACAACTTCCTTCTGTCAGCGGGTCCATAATCAGTCTGTGCTATAGTCGTATATATGTTTACGTTGAATAACTGCTTTGCTGTGATCAGTGTTTAGATGTTCTTTGGAGTAGTGTAGATAAGTATGTTCTTTAAAGAACTACAGTTACACTGTTACTCACATGCACCTTTGGATATTTGTTCTATTTTACTGACTGTTTTACAAATCTATGAGATTGTATATACAAACCAAATATTTAAGGTAATTTTATGCTGTTAAATGATGTACTTCATAAATACTCCTGATTGGAATGCGTTTAATTCAGTAAATGGACTGCCCCTTTGTGTAGTCCTAGCAGCTGTAAAAGTCTTCGGAGCCCAAGTGCTTTTTGCAGTCGTAGTGTGACAATTTATTGCTCTAATTTTGGATCCAATCCAGCGGACCTGCTGACTGATCAACGAACTTCAGGGGAGGAGAGCTTCTTTTGTTTTCCTTTTCTGGCTTACAGACCAGTAATGCAAAATGAATAGCAAGTGACAGACTTATCAAACCCACTGATAAAATACTACCTTCTTAAATAATTTCCTAAACTTTCCAGAAAGTGTCTGACATATCTGTTGGTTTTTTAGTTCCACCGCTGTTCCACACCAGCACTGTAACTTTTGATCAACATCACCTAAAGGGAATAAACCAAATCATAATTCTCTAACTTTCCATCCAGTGCTGGAAACCCCCCTTTTTTGGGGGTCATCACTAACTAAAGGCTTCTGTTATACATATGTGTACAGATGATGTATGAAACAACAACAACTGCACTGCCACACCTCAGGGCTTTGTTTCTTTGTCATTGATCCTTGGCGCTGACAGCTATTTTTTTTAAAGGAAGTGAGCCCTTTGCTCCTCTTTACTCATTTGAAACTAGCTGCTGAATTACACATAAAAGTCTGTCTGTGGTCCTGTGTAGTGTCCCCTCCTTCAGAGTGTGAGGGGGACGGGCTTCCCAGTGGTTACAGCTCTAGGGACTCCATCCTCAGAGCCAGCACAGAGAGGGACTGGAAAAGACGAAAACGGGGGCAACTAAGGCGGCTTAACAGGTGAGCGCCACTGTTATGATCGCATCTGTTTTAGCTATTCATGACATGGATCGGTTATTTTTTATAGATACTCATACAACATCTGTTCAGTTAAAGGCAGGTCACAGAGCAGGCTTTATGTGCTGGATGTTGCATTCAATGTGTGTCAGCAGAGTGGTGATGACTGAGTCCATTTAATGCCTGCTGTGGACCTAATAGTCTGGCTGCTGTCAGGCTCCGTAGTCAGCGTGTAACCAGTCTACTTGTGTGGTTGCTGATATTTCAGCTGCAGCAACTCCAGCGCTGAGGCTGGCAGAGAGAAGCAGCAGCCAACGTTTGGACTGAGTGGAGGTGTAGCCATGCGCTGCTCCACCCTGCTCGCCATCTTGACGGGGGTTCTTCTTTACTTGGTGCTGGGAGCTGTGGTGTTCCGTGCCCTGGAGGCTCCGCAGGAGGAGGGCGTGCACATGAAGCTGCAGGACACACGCCGGGACTTCCTGCTGAACTTCTCCTGTGTCGACTCAGACAAGCTGGAGGTTCTCATAGAGGTACAGAGAGGAGCCATTCACTATCTGGCTTTTATTTTGAAAATTTAAAAATTGTTTCTGTTTCTCTTTTACAATTTCCATCAGGTACAGCGTCATATTGATTGCTACAATACAATGCTAAACGATACGATACGATACGATACGATACGATACGATACGATACGATACGTTACTACATGACACGATATTACCTGATATGATACTGCAAGGTATGACATGGATGTCACGACATGATAGGATACTACCAATCAATAAGAATATATTGCAATAAAAAATGCATAGAAAGTATTGGCTTAGATAAAGTGCAAACTTATTGAACCTTCAGTTCTCAGACTTTAAGGGAAATGGGCATGAAAATATCAGAAAGACTAAAAGCTGTGATCCCTTTAAATATGACACGTTCGTGTCATTTTGTCAGTAATCCTGACAAATTCTGTGTGTTGCTGCTTTAGTGTTATAGCGGCTTCTCTTGTTGCTTCTAACTAAATCGAACAGCATACAGCAAACTTTGAGTTACTGAAACTACACATTTTGCATTCAAAAAGTGACTCTAGCTTTGCCCAGCTGCTGCTTTCTGTTAATCATATATTAGCAAACTCCAAACAAGTGTCATGATGACCTCTGATGCCGACTGCCTCTCTAGCTAAAAATACACTTTTGCTGAGTGCGTGACACATACCTGCTTCATGTTTTATACGCACTGGCTGAGTTTGTGGATCCTTAGGATGATCATTCAGATGTGTAACGTGTTCATTGGAGCTTTGCTGGTGACACAGTGCAGCAGCACAGCACGACGACTGTGAGCCAGATAACAGGTGTGGTCAGAGCAGCTATGCAAGGTTCCTTTCATGAGCGTAACTGCGTGACAGCTGATCCACAGATGGGTCGAGCGTTGGCAACCTAGCTGTGATCCTGAGATGCTTGTCCTCACTCTAGAATGAACATTGTAAATTACTGTTTACGCTTGCAAAGTGATGTATGAACTCGGCGACATTTGGAAAAAGGTTAAAGGTATCAAAGGACACTGAAGCATGCAAGCAGGTCTTGTTGTATTTTGTGTTTATTTAGAGGAAGCACATGAGCGATTAGGTGTGTTTTTTTTAAATATCCAAATGAATAGGTGAACACAGTAAGAAGTCCAAGCTGAAACACTTTCTTGTTTCTCTACTTGTAAAAAGAGCATTTGACAATTTGCTTGATTAAAATCATGTAGATACTAATATATTGTGCTTTTTAAAAAAATGCACTCATAATATGCAGCCAGTGATGTGATGATAGCTCCTGTTTGGTTCCATCAGAAAAAGAAAGAAAGGATTGGGATGGTTTGGGTGAACTTTGCACCTCAGTGCACTTATAGAAGTGGGGACACAATGCACTTAATGTCGGCTTACACAAAAACTGCTATTGAGCCACTGTGGATCATGTGTCACCGAACTGATGCTACATTCAGATGTTTCATCAGGTCTTCTAGTTACAGCTTCCTCCTCAAGCATCTGTCACATAGCACACCATACTTTATCAAAGATCATGCTATATTTTCTACCAGCAGATATTGATGTGGTTGATCACGTGACATTTATTTTACTGAAGAATTTATTAAACAAAAGTATCATTGCTTTGATGTAGGCATGTTGTGTAATTGTCTAATGTTATTTTTGGACACTGAAAGAATTTTCCGGAGGTCTTCCATTCAGGCAAGATTTGTGCAGCTACTTTCTGATTCGTCACTGTAAATGTTTATCTGAAAACCTTAGGGAGCTCTTCAGATCTTGGCAAGATGACACCACCGTACCAGATAGAGCAGCAGACTCGAGATGTCAGATTTAAATAAGACAGCTTCAGCTGTCCCTCCATATAGACGTTCTTATCACTGCCAACCCCAGATTCTAAATTTATGGATTTGAAAGGCTAATAAATAATGAGGTGTGCTTGGTGAACTTTCTCCACGTGACTTTTTTTTCACATGGTCTGGCTATCAGTGCAGGGTCTCCTTTTGTATATCAGTATAAGCTGAGCTTAGATAAGCAAAATTACAACTTTTACAGCTGCCAGTTTGTACGCTGAAATTAAATAAATATAAGAATATAGATAAATATTAAATCTTTCAAGCAATTCATGAAGTCAGTGTGACAACATCCCCTGGCTCAATTTCCTTCTTTATAAAGTTTTGCTGGTTATCTAAACAATCATGTGACATTGACAAATGATTGTCAATAATAAGCAGATTAATTAATGCTTCTATATCACATACATTTGATAGCATGTAAAGTATGAACACCATTGTGTTTTCATAGTTGCCGTTTGCATGTCTGTTGTGTATTTCACTACATCTGTGAGGGAATTGTGTGATGAAAACCTGAACCTCTCACTTATGGTTAGCATTCCCAGGAAGTTTCTTGAACACAGTTACTAAGGATTATATTTCTGGCTCCAAATCATCCCTTTCTGCGGTGCACAGAGTACACAGGCTGAGACTGAGGTGCGCATGACTAACCTCATAATTTGCCTCTCGCTTTTAATGTAACTTGAGGAGTAAAAGTAACCTAATTATCGTATGCCAAACCCTCTGGACACAAAACCTCACTGCAGTGTCTTCCTGTATCCACTAGAATGCAGGTAAATTCATGCAAAGTCAGAGCTCACTGATACCCGAACAGCACATATCTTGTTCTTACAGTGTCACTGATTTGATTCCTACTTCAAACCTACTCTTTTAGTCAGTTGTCACTGCACAAATAGAATTCGAAAGGGTGAGAAGTTCAGTCAGTTTCTGCTAATCTGTTGGGACAGACCTACTTGGCAGTAGACATTTCTACAATCGTCAATCTAAACTTTTAATTGATTGGTTTTAATGATTTCTGCAGAGGCCAAGTTAATTCATAACCTCATCATGCTTAGGTTTATGTTCCGATAATTGAATCAGGGAATTTGATTCTGTGCTGTAAGCGGTTCGATATGCCCGGGACAGAATGGAGCCGTCACAGCTGCTCATTGCCGCTAACTTCCTGTTTTTGATCATGACAGTGATCTTTTGTACCCCGTAGCAGGGATGGGTTCATTCATTCATGTGTTTGTTAATGCCTCTTTTCCAGTAAAACATTAATTATTGGAGTGTTTCATCAACTAAGTACTAACCTTCCCCCCACTGTCCCTTCCCAGGAGGTGGTGGAGGCCACTGGAGCAGGTGTGGATCCCATAAGCAACGCTACATTTGTCAGCAAATGGGATCTGGCCAGTGCCTTTTTTTTCTCAGGGACCATCATCACAACCATCGGTTGGTGTCCAGCTAAAAGTCCTTGTTCACTAAATTTAATTGGATGATGGGACTCATTAATTACATCTGAAGTCTTTAAACAACTGCTCTTCTACCTCTGATCCCACATGTGCAGGTTTTGGAAA